AGAAACACCGATGATCGAGAAACATTGATCAGCTGCCTCCTGCACACCCCCCACTGGGGATGTGCCCGCAACCAAGGTACATGCCCTTGACCGGAATCGAACCCGGGACCCTTCAGTCCACAGGCTGACGCTCTATCCACGGAGCCAATCCGGCCAGGGCTAAAAATATTTTTTAAAAAAATCAATGGAAAAATATCCTTGGGTGAGGATTACCAACAAAAAGTTTTAGTAAATGGCACAGTGTGGGTTCTGACCTCTCAGAAACAGAACTTAACCTGGGGCAGGGTCTTCAGGGTCCAGGCAGGTATTGTGCCTTTAGATCCTGGATTGTGGGACGGTCCAGGAGGCCTCAGGAGAAGAGGTGGGGTGGGAGGGGACACTCAGTATCCTACCTCAGAGCTCTCCACTCTCTAGGATCCCAGGAGCCTCAGTTCTTCCTTTTTTGTTTTCTCTAAAGGATGTCTGGGTTTCTACCACCTCCCAGCCAGAACCAAGAGCCTGGACGCTCCCCCCCGCCCCCACTCATGTGACCTTGGCCTTTCGCTGCCCACAGTCCCGTCCCAGCGAATGTGTCGGCTGTCAAAATGCCCATGGAGTCCCTGCAGTCACTTCTCAGCACCCCAGCTGCCACCACCCGGCCGGAGGCTGCCCTTTACCTGCCTGGCTTGTCCCTGCAGGCCTGCAGGCGAGCGCGGACCTCATCGTACGTGAGGAAAGCCATGTAGCCTGGGTGGTCGACCACCAGAAGCTGCCAGTTCTTGAGGAGTGTTGGCCATGGCTGGAGAGGGTGGCGCTGGGTCAGGGAGGGGCTGAGGGAGCAGCCCCTCTCCTGGTGCTTCCTAGGGTCCAAGCACCCAGCCACCTTGCTCACACCACAGTGGGCCTCAGGAATCTGTCTTTTCCACAAATGACTCTAGCCCCTTCTTTCCCGTGACCCAGGAGTCAAGGCCCCCGCCCCCTCCTCCCATAGGACCGGAGTCTGGGCCCCCAGGCTTGGCCTTCCCCCACCTGGAAGAGCCTGGTGAAGATGTCAAATTCGAAGACGGACACGTGGCCACTGCAGGTGAGGTCGATGGTGGAGCGCAAGGCGAGGGCTGTGCAGCCTGACTCCACGGGGTGGCAGGTGCACAGGAGAGACTCAAACTCAGCCCAGGGCAGCACACACCTGCGCAGAGGGGCACCGGGGGTGCAAGTGAGGCCCCTGGGAGCCTAGGATAGACATCTAGGAAAGAGGCAGCTGGGGCTGGGCCCCTGGGTCTGAGGGAGGAGGGGCCGGGGGCCTAGACCCCTGGGTCTGTGGGAGGAGGGGCTGGGGGCCTGGGGGCCTGGGTCTGAGGGAGGAGGCGCTGACCATGTGCTCAATTGGCAACACCCATCTCTTAGCGGCCAAAACGGCCCCGAAAGGCAAAGATGACTGGACTCCTGGGTCTGAGGGAGGAGGGGCTGGGGGCCTGGACCCCTGGGTCTGAGGGAGGAGGGGCTGGGGGCCTGGACCCCTGGGTCCCTGGACAGGGTCAGGATGGAGCTCCAGGGGCCCCTGAGACCGTGCTCACTCACCGGGCTCCGCAATGCTCTCTCCAGAAGGCGTGGGCTTCGGTCTGGGTGAGCTGGTATGTGTGTCCACAGTACTTCCCCCGGGGGAAGAGTGCGCTCAGCTCTGAGTACATGTGGCTGAAGATAAGGGCCAGCTTGGCCAGCTGTCGCCTGTGGGGATGGGCTCTGAGCACCGGCTGAACCCTGGGGCTCCCAAGGACACCTCCACCCTCTGCAGAGAACACCCCCAGGCCCCAGCCTCGGAGGCAGCGGGGGGCGGGGGGAGAGGGGGGTGAAGTCGGTTCCAGCACTGTCCGCTGCGGCCCTGACGCTCCCTCCCAGAGCCTCAGCTTCCCCTCCGGAAGGAAAGGCATGCGGGCCCGTGTCCTCAGCCTCCACGCAGAGCCGGGCCAGGGGAGGAGCCTCCCTCGTTGCTCCCGGGGACACTGGGGCTGAGGGCATCGTGGGGTCTGCCAGCAGGTCTTGCTCGGGGCCTTCCTCCAGGTTTGAGCAGCACTGGGGGCGGCCCCGCTTCCTCCTGCGGCCGCTTCCCCGAGGGAGGAACGGATCAGCATGTGGGCAGCAGCAGAGGGAGTCTGACACCTAGCTCCGTGACGTTTGACAAATTCCTTTTTAAAACATATACCGGTATATATACATCACCGATGGCCCTCGCTGGTTTGGCTCAGCGGATAGAGTGTGGGCCTGCGGACTGAAGGGACCCGGGTTCGATTCTGGTCAAAGGCATATGCCCGGGTTGTGGGCTCCATCCCCAATAGGGGGCGTGCAGGAGGCAGCTGATCAATGGTTCTTTCTCATCAATGATGTTTCTATCTCTCTCCCTCTCCCTTCCTCTCTGAAATCAATAAAGATAAAAATAAAAACTATAAAGAAAAAACTATAAAGAAACATCAATGATGAGAGAGACTCATTGATGAGCCACCTCCTGCACACCCCACACTGGGGATTGAACCCACAACCCGGGCATGTGCCCTGACCAGGAATCAAACCATGACCTCCTGGTTCATAGACCTCCTGGTTCATAGATTAATGCTCAACCACTGAGCCACACGGGCTGGGCTTGCAAGTTCCTTTATTTCCCCCCTAAGCCTCAGTTTCCCCAACTTTGAAATGGGCATAAGTACAGCCCCTCCCTCACAGGGGGAGTGATGAGGATTCTTACAAGCACATAAAGTGCCTAGCACACCCAGCACACGTTTGGCAGTCAGAGCACATTAATTTTTTGTTAATTCTCACCTGAAGATATTTTTTTTACATTGAATTTTAGAGAGCTTGGAAGGGGAGGAGGGAGGAGAGAGAAACATTGGTGTGCAAAAGACACATTGGTGGGTTGCCTTCCACCATCACCCTGACTGACTGGGGCCTGGGTATTGGACCTGCAACCCTGGACTGGGAATCGAACTCGTGACCCTTCAGTGCTCAGACCAAAGCTCTAACTATTGAGCAACACCAGGGCTTTATACTGAAGTTTACAGAAATTCAACTCTCCCATATATCAAGGGAAGACTGACCCAGCAACAGTGATTCTCCTCGCGTGCAAGTGTCTGGCTCATCAATCCTGCCTTGCAGAATAATTGTGATTGTGCCTTGGCATTTCCATTAGAAATGTCGGTAATTTTATTATAAAGAACATTCTTTTTATCACTTCCTTATAATACAATTTGGGGGCCTAGACTCCTGGTTTGAAGGAGGAAGTGCTGGGGGCCTGGACTCCCGGGTCTGAGGGAGGAGGGGCTGGGGCCTGGACTCCTGGGTCTGAGGGAGGAGGTGCTGGAGGCTGGACCCCTGGGTCTGAGGGA